TGGAAGTTGTTTGGTTATTTTGTTGATATCTGTCTATGCTGGCTTTTAGTCAGATGGAAGTTTTTGTTGGGTTATTTTTAGAGGTGTTTTTTTACCGTTTATCGTCTCTCTTTTGAGATTTTATGCGGTGACGAATATTTTTAGGGGTTTTTATATGGAATATTATAAGTTATTGATCAGTTTTTTAGATATAATCTTGTGAAGCAGTTTTGTGTTAAAATGGTTCATTGGAATTCAACATGGGTCTGTATTACATTATTGTTTTTTGCTTGTTATGATTAACCAGAAATACGTATGAACGGTGGAGGAGAACGCTGTCATAGAATTTCAAGGCGATTTATTTCTTTCGAAACCTTTTGTTTAAACTACTTATTGGGGGTGACGCAGTCAAATGTTTAACGCACGGTTTTGCATCGTTTAATTTTGTGCTTTCTTACATAGCTGGTAAAAAGTTTCTTTTTCGAGAGCTTTTGTACTCTTATTTTTGCTGGATTTTTATTTAAACTGAACACGTCTGTAATTTAGCCAAAGTGGAGTTGATGTTTTCAAATTTTGTGATGTTTCTTTAACTCGTGACTTGGCTTAGCTTGCAATTTTTCTCTAGTGAACAATGTCCCAAATGACATTTTCGTTATTTGCTGGTGCTAGCTATGTATTTTCGAAGCATGTTTTGTGATCATTTTAGTGTAGTACAGTGAAAGTCGTTTTGAAAGGATCTTGTTGGTTTTTTTCTAGTTTTCTGCAGCTCTATTCTGAGTATTCATAAATTTCATTATATTCTTAAGTCAAAAAGTCTTTTTGTGTTTGATTATTAGTGAAAACTATGTTTTTTCGTTTACAAATTAGCTGCATAACTGTGTGCTTCACATCTGGTCATTGTATTTTAAGTTATATTTTTGTATTTTGTTTTTGATACCTCACTGAAAGTTGTAATTTTGTATTTGGTGAAAACTTGTGTGATTAACGGGACCAAATTTTGTTCACTAAGACTTACTCATTCAAATCGTTGTTATGTAGGTGAATAGTTGCTTTTGATTCTCATCATAGTTTTTCATTATCGTTACCGCTGCTATGCTAACTGTTACTTTTCGCCATTTTATTGAGGTTTTGCCATTAGGTTGTGGCAGCACTTTTATTGAGGTTAATTGAGACTGGACGATGGTAAGCAGACTTGGAACTTTATATTATTTTTTAGTAAAGTGGATTTGTTTCATTTCTCAGAGTACTCTGTCGAAGAAAGTTTAGTTGTTTTTGTCTCAAGTTTTCCGGTTCGTTATTTAAAATCCATAATTCTGTGTTTTTTTTCATATTTGCCGTAATATGGTTTTGAAAATGCGCTTGTAGGTTTTTGTGTAGAATTTACCAGTAAGCTGTAATTTTTTTAAATTTAGAAAAAACTTTTTGATGGTGTTTTTTATTTTGATTTATATTGCGACAAGTATTTTGGTTACGTTTTCAATTTCGCGTTTCTGTTGTGTTTCAATGCTCCGTTTGGCACTCTCATTCTGTGACGTCTAGTGCTCGATTCCATTTTAGTTCTGTTATGGTTACTTTGATAAGAGTTTTCATTTTTAGTTTTCCAAAGACGGCAGTGAAAGGTGGGTGTTTTCTTTTGGGCGAATATTTTATACCTGTAGAAGCATTTTACTGTTTTATTTTACTGAATGCCGGACAAACCATCAGAACAATCTGTTAGTAATCCCGTGTCCAGTCCAAAAGCTGGTTATGGCAATAGCTGTAGAGAGTCAGTCGACAAATTCGATAATACAAGGTTACCGGAAGTTCACCAGAAGTTACCATCAGATGATGGCTCCCTCGAGGTAACTGAAGGAATATTGCAAGTTTTATGCACTTCCTATCTCGAAAAATAGAGTGCGATGTTATTCAATAAATTACGCTACTGTAAGTTATGTAATTTTAAAGCTAAAATTGGTTATATTTAGAGTAAAAGGTGCAGCGCTTTCCCAATTGAGAAAATATGCGGTGAGAAGGTGGAATATTCTGTGGAGGTAGTTGGAGGGCATCTTTTTTTAACGAATTATCGAATCGTTATGACGGGGAATAACCGGCGCGGAATTGCTTCTATTCCTGTTGTAGGAGTGGAGTCAGTTGAAGCTAGAGAAGCCTGTGGCCTGCAAATCACTTGCAAATTTGGGCGCGTTTATAAGTATGCTGATTTATCAATACAGTATAGCGTCTCTCGTTTTCTCCTTCTTCTGGCTGGGCCGATCTGTTTGAATGTGAAGAATGGTTTTCCAAAATGACTTAGTGCGCTGTTTAAGGGTTACTGTTTTGAATAGCGAACGTGCGTGTGAATGTTACAAGAGGCTCTCACAGAAGACAGTGTCGTCTAGGAAGATGTGTGAGATTTTTGCTTGGGAATTCGCGAAATGCGCGAAGGTTATTTTAGAAATTGCTTTTTTCTTAACTCACTTGAGTGTCAGCCAATTTGTAAGTTAATGTGGAAGAAATAAAAAATATTTTTTTATTAAATTTTGAATAAGGGTGTTCTGCCCATTCTAAAAGCTTTATGAATTCATTTTAGAAGGACTGGGAGAAAACACGGCTCAACCGCGAAGAGTCTTTTGGTGATTCAGAATGCTCTGTAAAGGAAGAATTCAATCGACTTGGTTATGATGAGGAGAGATGGAGAATTTCGACGGCCAATAACAAGTTTTGGTGAGAAATCTTAACTGTTTCGTATTTCTTTTTCTTTTAAATAATATCAAATTATTTTTTATATTTAGCATTTGTGATACCTACCCACAATATTTGATTGTGCCAAAAAGGGTTACCGATGAGGATCTTCGGTTAAGTGCTGAGGCTCGTACTTTATCTCGTTTTCCGGTTGCTGTTTGGTATTGTCGAGAAAAAGGTACTGTGATGATGAGGAGTAGTCAACCTCGTGTCGGTTTTTTCTCTTACAGATACGAGAAGGATGAGCTTTTGATCGAGCACGTTAGTGGCTTAACGTCTAAAGGTACATTATATAACGGTTTTCTATGTAAGCTGCGTCTGTTTTTCCTGCTATTAATTTTGTTTGTAACACATAATTAAATAAAGGGAGTGGAAATCATCATGGAATTTTCTGTGAGAAATTCGTCGCTGTTTAAGTTGGAATTGCTGTTATTGAGGCTTTATGAATTCTTGCTATAGCATCAGTCAAAAAATGGGAGGGGGATTCATTTTTTTTTCTTTTTTTTCATTAGTTTTTTATTTGGAGTTGAGCCGATATTAATTTTTTACCAGCTTTTAAAGGGAAGCAGCAATGAAACAAAAGGATGTTACGTGGTTGCGTAAAAACTGTGAAATAAAACCATTACAATGATTATTATAAATTCAAAAGTTAATTAGATACTTCTTCGAGAATAAAAATTAAGGAAAGTGATTAATCGTGTGAAGCATTTTCAAAGATCCTGGTTCATCTTTACGTTATTTCTGACCTAAGTTTTTTTTGAGCAAGAGTGGCTTAATAAAGTTTTTGGGGCTTAGGCTTTTATACCTCAGTTCTATTTGGAACGGTTCTGTAGGATAGGCGGTAGGGTTACTTCGTTTTTCGAAACCCTTTTGTTGGTAATTTTGAAGCTATCGCGAATTATTTATCTCCGCCCTGTTAGGAATCGGGATTTTACTGTCAGAGTTTTTTTTATAAATTGTTCCAAATACTTATTCGATGGGAGTGCGATAGAATTGCATTAGTTTTATTAGCCTGCGAAATTCGTCAGAACTCTCTTGCGTTCGACAGGATAGTCATCTCCTGTCATCTTCCTTTTTTTTGGTGGAAACTGCAAGGGAAGGTTTTTTGATAGATTTGAGCTCGAAATGTTTTTTTGTTAGTTTCTACTTTACAAAATATAAAAAGGATTATCGTGTACATTTTCGATAAAGATAGGGCCTGTCAAAGATTAGCCTAATGTATTTGAAGCACATTTTAACAGTCGCAGTTTTAAGCACTCTATCGTGTAATGCTACTTTTTGTAAGCAAAGCTTGTCTGAACGCGTAGCGCCTTTTTTGCAACCAGAAATCTAAATGTATATTCACTGGTTAAGCACGAGGCAAACTTTAACTGGATAGTTAATTCAAAATCTTTTAAAGCTTAGTTTAGGCTCTTGTTTTCTAAATATTGACCTTCACTGACTTTGATAGTCTGCTTTGCGGAATTTAGATTATAGGGTTGGGAGAGAAAGAGTTGTATAAATCATGAGAACATACGGAGTCAAGTGAGGGCATTTACTTGGTAGACTTTTCATACTACTAAGTTTTATTTGGGTTTGTCTATGTTTGTATTTATATATTCGTTTTTTAACTTGATTGGTACCTTTTCAGTTCCTCCAGCTACTCTTCTTATTATCGATGCTAGGTCTTATACTGCAGCTTTGGGTAATCGTGCAAAAGGAGGTGGTGTGGAATTACCCGGTATGGTTGTCGATGCTTCTCAATTGTAAAAATGAATAGTTTTTCACAAGACAAATAATCACAAAATTGCTTCAGTGTTTAGTAATTTGATTTTACGACACTTCTTGTATTATCTGTAATATTTAAAATATTGTTTTTAGATTATTACAAGCAAACAGAAGTAGAACATATGTCTTTGCCAAACATTCACAACATTAGATATTCTTTTCATCAACTGCGAGCAGTGCTTCATAGTAAATGCGATTTACAGTTCCATATGGCATTACAAAACACTAATTGGTTTCCCTACTTATACTCGTTAATAGAAAGTGCATTTCGTTGTGTTCATGCCCTTTGCGATGAGGGTTTGTTACATTAATTTACCTTTTTTGGAATTTTGTTTTATTACCTGGTTTTTTTTTTCAGTAGTTTTAGTACCTGTTTAGGAGGTTTTATATTTATGCATTTGCTCATTCATCAACTATATTGTTTTGAATTCTTCTTTTTTTAATTTCTCCTTGAGACGTTCTAGTGGGTTTCAGCTTTAAAAGACTGTAACAGTTGGTAAGCAAGCTACTTTGGAAAACGTTTTTATGTCTTTCTTGTATTCAGGCAGATCGGTTTTGGTTCACTGTTCGGACGGATGGGACCGGACGACGCAGATAACTACTTTAGCGAAAATTATTGCGGACCCGTATTATCGAACATTTGATGTAGGGTTGATCTTTGATTTAATCTGTTAAATTTTTTTTGTCTGACTAATTTTTTGCATTGTTTGACAATTGAAAACACATCTTTACGTTTTTTTTGGTTATATTTTATGACTGTGTGTCCAGTCTTTTTTGAAATGGTGCGAAAAAAACTTATCTTCACTTTTCCAGTTTCAGTTCACACGAACGGTGAGGAACTTTCTTTTATATTTTTAAGGGCTTCCGCTACCTTATTCAACGTGATTGGATTGATTTCGGACATAAATTCAAAGATCGATTAGGTATTCTAAACAAAGATCCCAATGAAGTCTCTCCAGTGTTCATTCAATGGCTGGATTGTGTTTATCAACTTTTACGGCAAAATCTTTCTGCGTTCGAGTTCTCAACTTTTTTTTTGGTATTCTTACCCTCTTTTTTATGACAAGGGCTTATGTTATAAATGATTTCATTCGGTTGCCGAAATCTGTTTGACGAATTTTTTGTTTTAAACTTTTATTTTCCCTTTTATTTCTTTTTAGACACACTTGGCTTTGCACGCTTATTCGGGAATGTTTGGTACTTTTTTGTGGAATAGCCTCTCTGATAGAAAGAAAAGCTTAAGTGCTTCTAACGATAACGAGGAGACGTTGTCCGCGTGGTCTCATTTTTACAAAGGCAATGCTAGTTATGTAAATTTTATGTATAAGTTTGGTTCGTGCTGCCAGTTACCACCACTTAATGGTCTAGTTGACATGGTTTTATGGAAGGAACTGTATTTGTGCTCTCGATCAGAGCAGATTATTAATGATCCCGTAAGTTTCTTAGAAAGTTTTTAACAAAGTGCTGCTCTTATTAGCAGTTTATATCTTCTTCAGTAAATCGTAGCAGTTTTCGCTCTTTCGAATACCTCTATTACTTTAGGACAGCAAAGGTGCAGGAAGTCCAGTTTTTGATGGAACGCGAAGTAGTCTTTATCGATCGCATTCAGCAGAAAATGTTTCTAACACTGATGGTTTAAGTTATGCTTCTGGCTCAGGGTGAGCTTTGATGATTTCAAATAGGGTGGTCTCTTTGCATTAGGAACCGGTCTCTGAATGCGAAGGAATTGAGATTTGGCATTGCTTTATCTTTTACTACCAAATTTCTAAAGTTTTTTGGTATGTTGTCTTTTCAAGTTGAAATATTGTCACTAAAAACTCAGGGCGCTGTGTACTTAAGTGATGAGAAGGGAGAAGTGAGTTGAGTTGGAACTGTGGACAGTTTGGAAAACTGGTCCTTCTTTGAATTAGTTATCTGCAGAAAAAGTCCGTTGAAGGAGTATTATTATGAATTCCTTAAAAACTCAGTGAAGCTATATGATTCCGAAGTGGGCGTTCAAAAATAAATTTCTCTGAGATCTGTCTTTCTTGTTGCATGAGCTTAATTATAGAGTTGTTGATAAAAGTCAAGGATGCATATCGGGAATTTCTGAGGCTTTGGAGCAGGGTTCGTCCAAGTCTGGCCATGACAGTCAGGGGCGTAGTACACAGCAGTACCTCGAAGACCCACTTTCTGTTAGTTGTGTTAACTTTGTTTTTTCTAGGGACAATTTCACATCTGTTCGTACGTTTTCATCAGCTTATGCCTCCGATGCTTTGTAAATTTTTGCTAATCGATGAAATCTGATTGCTGGTGTAAAAAACCTTTAGGAGATTTCAGAGGAAGGAATCTTTCGCCAAGCTATATTCCGTTAACTTTCAGGAATTTTTTTTACGACTCAGCTTTCCTAAATATTGTAATTTTAGTATCTGTGGGAAAGATTAGTTTTGTGATTTATTCGTGGATTAAGAGTTAAATAACCTTTTTTTATATTTCATACGTGTATAACAAAAGTGTTATGAAAATGAAAACTTACAAATGTGCTGCAGAAAAAAACTCAGGTGCTGATTTTGAGCAAAATACGCTTAATTTTTCCAAATCGACTCATATGATCAGTTGAGTCGCAGGATTTGCTCGTTTTGAATCCTTTCATATTGCAGTTTAAGAAGTTTTATATAAAGCACCCTTTTTTAGAGGTGAACAGAAATTGGTTTTCAAAATGCGTTTTTTAAGTCTGGTTTCTCCTATATTATAACTAGAGATAGAAGGTACGAAAAATGTTTTCCACCTGTAAACCTTTTAACGAGAAGGCTTAGATTTGCATTGAAAATTAATCGGTTCTTTTTACGGGTAATAAAACTATAAGATCTGACGTGAGCTGTTACCGCACAAAAATTAGAAAGTTTTTGGATTTTAGCGCTATATAGCCTGGCGAGATGGTCTTCTTTTCCAGATCCTCTCCTTCGTTTTTTTTTATATTAATAGCGAAGTTTGTTAAAAGTAAAATTTAGAGGAATTATAAGATGTCATTCAAAAAACAGAATAATTTGATGTGAAAAGACCTCTTTGTATGTTTGTAGCATGAAGTGTAGTTTCGGAAATACATTCCTTGCGCTTAAAAAAGAGAGGAGTTTTTTAGAAATTAGTTGAAACTAGTGGAGTCCCGAAGGTTGATGACGATAGAGAGGATATTCGATTGTACATAGAGAATCATCGTAAAAAGGTAATTCTATTATTACTTTTTAAGTCTTATCAGTAACTCAAGAGAGGCGCTGAGAAGTTAATGGAAAGAAATGAAGGCTGTTACTAGTCGTGCTGTTATCTTATTTCTCAATTCACTGCTTCAAAGACAAATTTTTCAGCTTTATTGCATCATATTTTGTTAGAAGAATTTTGCCTGATTTTTTTCGATTAGTTTTTCTGGCTTTGCATTAAGTGATAGGTTTTCTTTGAAACAGTTAGGTGTGGAAGTTGACATCGTTTCCTTCTGGAAAAAAAGGTCTTTTTTTATTAAATTTCCTTTACTCATCTCTGGGACAGTATTTCACCCTTCCTTATCGTCTTCGAATTTTTTGGGCAGTTACACTTTTTTATTTCTTTCTGTTTCTTAAACATTTTTCAAACCTTTTTCTTATTTAAACGTTGCATCTGTGGGGTCATTACGTACAGTTGAAGTTCTGGGAACCACGAAACATGTGCGGTAGAACAGTGCTATCCTTATACTTGTGTAAATGCGGGAATGCTTAGAAGAGTTTGAAGTTGTCTTTTGTCCAAAAATAATATTTTTTTTTTTTTT